TGTGCGCCATGTCTGCTCACATTCCATTGGCCAATGCAAGTCACATGGCCAAGCCCGGAAATGGGGCAGGGAAATGCATTCCCTCCACCTACCGGGAGGTGCTGCCAGTCACATGATAGTGGATGAGGCTATATAATCCTTTCTCAGAGAAGGAGCAATATGTATTATTGCTTCAAAAATACAATCCATGACATTGGCTATAAGCTGAGCATGGTCCTAAATCCATACTTCTATTTTTCACATTTTATCCGCACAGTGCTTTGAGGTAGGGAGAAGTTATATAATTGTTTCAGGATCACACAAGCGAATAGGCAAGGAACTTGAGCGCAGATACCACAACTCCAGAGCCCTTTGCTCTGACTCACCAAGCTGTAATGCATTGGTGAATTCTGTCAAATTCTATCCTGGATCCCTTAGAGCCATGATGCTTAGACATTCATTACCTATTCATTCATTAGTCAGCCAATTTTTGATGAACATCTATTCGGTGGGGATAGTGAGAGGTGCAGAAGAGAAAGACAAGATAAATATATAAATACTGTTGCGTGGAGATGAGCACTAAGAAGAATACTGCTGATTTATGCCATTTTAGGTATTATGGTCTGAAACTTTTCACTGTGAAGGTGACACTTAAGACTGGTGGTGTTCCTTGAGAGCTGGGATTTGTGTCTGGTTTTGTTTGAAGTCATGTCCCCAGCATCAAGAACAGGGCTTGGCCCCTTGTAGGCTCTCAATAATTATTTTTATGAACAAAAGGAGGTAAGGGAAAGAATCTTGTAGACAACTTAGGGAAAGAATGTTTCAGGCAGAGGACACAGCACATTGCAAAGCCTGTGTCTTAGTTACACTTTTCTCACTGCTGACACCCAAAGTTGAAAGAGGAAAGGTTTATTTAGCTCACAGTTTGTAGAGATTTCAGTTCATAGATGGCTGGCTCCAAGGCAGGATGGCACGGCAGAGGGCAACACAGAGGAGAAACAGTTCATGGTGGGCAGGAGGCAGGAAAGCAGCAAGGTAGCCAAGAAGCAGCAAGAGACTGAAGCAGGCCTCTTTCTGTCCCTTACAGTCTATCCACGCTATATGTCCTTAGGATGGGTAGCATGCACACTCAGGGTGGGGCACCCTTAACCCTAGTGTCACACCATGAATCCCAGCATCATACACCCTAGATCCAGCCACCTCTAAAAAGCTCCACTTGTGACCACTTGAGGCTTTGGGGGACGTCTAGACAAAAGCCACAACAGCCCACTAGGCAGCAGGGTACCTGGTGCTTCTCTGAGACAAGGAAGAAGCCAGAGTGGCTGCAGTGGAGTGGAGCCCAGGGAGAGAAAGGACAAACAGGTCAGAGGGGCATCTTGGAGAGAAAGGACAAACAGGTCAGAGGGGCATCTTGGAGGGGAAGCACTGAAGGCTTCATTTAACTCAGTGAAATGAAGGACCACCATAGGGTTTTGAGTAAGTTAGTAACAGGAGTTTGAACTTGGGCTTTCATAGGATCATTTCAGGTGACAGGAGAACAGGAAGAAGGCAAGTGCAGAATCTGAAAGACCGATTAGAGACCGCTCCATCACCGAGATGAGCAAGTCCTTGTCGGGCCAAGTGGAAACGTCGATGAACAAACCCGGGAATCTGCCCAGCGCAGTGACTGTTTAACTTTATCGTGCATCTTAATTTCCTGGGTACTTCATAAAAATGCAGCTTGGGAACCTCATTTCCACAAATCCTGATTTAGAGGGTTTGAGTTGTGGGTATTGGAGTCCGTACCCCACCCCCATCCCCGCACACACTCAATGCCTCTGAAGCTGGAGATCTTGGGCTACACTCCTTGGGGCTTGGATTAGCATGTGATAGGAACTTTACCAGGATATGCTTCTCTGGAAAAGGAGTTTTTTAAGCTGTTACTACCCCTTCCCTCCCCCACCCCACAAGCCTTAATAAGAAGCGGGTTCTCCCTCTGCCCCTGTCCCAACGCGTCCCAAGGGAGGGCAGTCTGGGGAAACCAGGTCTCGGGAAGCGGGGAGGGCGCCCCAGGCGGGGAGGGGCCCCGGGCCCGCTAGACAAAGGGCGGCGTCCTATAAAGGCGGCGGCGGCGTCCAGGCGGGGGCGCACACGGCCGGGACCGCGACAGGGACGGCGACGGCGCGGGCTCTTGCTCTCGGCGCGGAGGTGCGTTGACTTCGGGGTGACGCCGGCACGCCCCAAGCCGGACTCGTGGGATCCGCGCCTCTCGCCTGAGTCCTCCGGGTCTGTGCATCAGTCACTCCAGACGGCAGAGACGTGGCGGAGACTTGGTAGCAGCCACCACGGCGACTCGCTGGGCGAGCTGGGGACCTTCCTCGGGCCCCGCACCCAGCGCGTGTCGGCGTGGCCCCTTGCGCTTGCCGGGAGATGCGGCGCTGCTGCTCTCACCGCAGGGCGTCTCCCGGGGCTTCTCAGTGAGCGGCCGCGGACACTCACTCGCCTGCAGTCGGGGCACGGCTTTGCTAGGAAAAGCCAAGTTATAGAAAGAAAAAAGGGAAGAGGCGAGAAGCGGAGCAGCCCCGCAGGTGGAGGGAGGGGCCTTCATCTCAGGTGTGGGGCGGCTGCTGAGCCGGGCGCTGAGCTCGCCTCAGAGCCGGGGGCCCCGGAGTGCCAGGCAGCTGGCAAAGCGCGCTCACCTAGGGCGCTTCCCAAAGAGCGGTCTTCCTAGCGCGGGAGCCCATGTACTGCATCCCGCGGAACTGCCTAGGCGAGAAAAGTCAGCTCGCATAATAACAGGAACGTAAGTGTGTACGCATGAGTGGTATGTGAATACACATCAGACTCTCTGTGGCTAGGGAATGAGATCGATTGGGCGGGTGAACAGGCGAAGAGCCTTTTACCCCTTATATACTTTTTTTCTTCTTAAAGGCACATGAGTTATTTCTATAGTAATTGCAAAAGACAACCTTGTGCCTAGTGCCGGAGGTTATGTACCTTCCCCTAGTGTAACTGTATAAACCACTCTTCATCGCTTTTTCCTGGAGAGCATTTTCACTTGATTTCAAGAGAAAGATGAAAGAAGAGACAGATACACAGGACCAAACGGAGGAAGAGCAATCCAAAGCTTTGTGAAAAAGCTGTATGAGTCCAAAGGCCTGGGACAGTCCGGAGAGGAGTGTGACCTGTGGACCTGTTGTGCACCTGTTCAGTGGACCTGGGCTATATGCTTAGGAACCACTCGTACGGAAGAGCAGCTCCTGTTGGTGGCACAGGTCCTCCCCGTTTGGGGGCATAGGTGTCTTTCTTTTCTCTAGGAATGTGTAACCTTCCCTGGTGACAGCAGAAACAGATGTTTCTGCACACCTCTATCGCCACTGTTTTTTACCATGACATTCCTCCAGCAGAAGGAGTAAAAAGGAGGTACACAGAGAATTCACGGGTTATATAAATTTGGATGGAGAAAACGTACATATGTAAGTCCATTAGCCTTTAATCTAAATATAGCATTTCCTTTGTTTACAACTGTGGGTAAGAAAGTACAGTAACGTTAGCATGGTTTTAAATGAAATAAAAAGCCCTGGTTCCTGTCTTCGAATAATGATTTCATTTGATTTTACTTTTGTTTTCTTTCATTTTGCAGTGCTGGGGATCCAACTCAGGGCCTCTTGCATTGCTCAGACTCATGATTCTAAATGCATAAATGGAAATAACCAATTATATTTAGTAGTTATTAAATGCTACAATTTAAAATACAATAGAGTAGCACAATATTGTACTGAGACAAGGCAGTAATGGTGAGTTGATCACCAATAGAAATCATACATATTGCATCTCGCATCACAGATACAGCTGACCTTTTGAAAAAAAAATTAAAATATCACTTCTAGGAAATTATGGTAATAATTCTAGTTAATGTGTGAAAAATGAAGCACATGTATTGCCATATTGCATTTTTAGTTACAGGATTTTAATAACTACTAAGAATAACTAGTTGTTTTCTATGTTCTGTATTTTAATTTATGCATTTAAACTCGTTATTCTGAGAAGGAAACCAAAAGCTTTTCTTTATATATTTAAAATCATTGTTCTGAAAGGATTGTCTCTAGGCTTTCCCAGACTGCCAAAAGGATCCATAGGACAAAACAAGGTTTTGAACCCTGACCTAGCAGGAGTCCTTGATGGTAACAGAAATGTGTAACTAAATACCCAGGCTTGGGACTCCGGCCCTATCCCAGATTCCCTGTGTGTCTCAGTGCTTTACCCCTGTCTTGACATGCATCTGTGGCATCTGGTATTTTCTCTTTTAGCTCTTACATTACTCTAGCTCAGGATTAGCAGCAATCAGTCCTTGCAGCTGGAAAGACCCTAAATGCAATTTTCCTTTGATTTAAGAAGTACTTTGGTAATTTCCTACTGACCTCTACTTTGAGCTTTTCCAGCTTATTAAATCACTGATTTCTATTTCCCCCATACAGAAGGAGAGGAAAGCCCTTGAGGATAAATCAACAAGGTAATTATTAAGCAACTGTAGGATGACAAGCTACATTTTAGAGCCAGTCTTCTCTTCTTTCTGTTTCTTCTGTCTGTTTCTACTACAGTGGGATGGAGCCCTCTTAGAAGAGAACACCACAGTCAGTTTATCCTGCCTAATCTTTTTTCCTCCCAGCTTGAAGCAGACCCACCTCCAGGGGACTAGAGTTGACTTAGTGAATGAGCTAAACCCTCTTTTGACGAGAGAAGCTTGAAAGTAACTTGGTTTCCACAGTCCTGGCTGGCTCCAGTGTGAAAAAAACTTGATAGTTTTCTATTTTAAAACCCCTTGCTTCAGGTTTAGACTTTCCTTATTTTAGGTAGCATTGGGATATAGTTCTGACAATGCTCATCGTTTTATTGTTGAACCCAAAGGTCAGAATATTCAAAATGGGGCTAGGGATATAGTTCAGTGGCACAAGTGTCTGGCTGGCAGGCGCAAGGTCCTGACTCCTAGTACCAGAAAAAAAAGAATATTCAAAATGACTTAGGTTAGATAAAAGGCAGGGCATTATGGCATGCCAGAGCAGAAGGAGGCCTGGGGATCACTCGGTCCACCTCCTCCAATGTTGGAAGGGGATATAGTCTGCCTGGAAGCCCCTGAGATGCCTGCTTACCTCCCACTGTGCTCTTCCGCCCATGGTTCTCTCTCCCAATGTCCTGATGACCCAGCAGGTTGCACAGTACAGCTGCTCCTCAATTTATGATGCAGTTGCTTCCTGATAAACCCACCATAAGCTGAAAAGTATCAGAAATTGAAAATGCACTTATTACACCTAATCTAGTGAACATTATGACACAGCCTAGCCTAATTTAAATGTCCTTGGAACACTTGTGGGCAGAATCACCTAACACAAAGCCTATTTTATAATAAAGGGTCAAATGTTGCATGTAATTTATTGAGTACCCGTACGTATACAAAAAATGCTGGCACACAGTACCATAAGGTTGCCCTAGTGATGGTGTGTGACTGATGGAGCTGCAGCTCAGTGTCACTGCATATCTCTCGGGGTCCCCGCCCGCCATCTCAGGAGAGTATTATACTCCGCGGTGAAGCCTCCAATTCAGTCTGGGCTTGGTGGAAAAGAAGGACGGAGCTGCTCTTTAGAGAACATGTAGAAAGAGGCAGGCAGAGTATGGGAGGGAATTCAAGGAAGAGAAAATGGCACGCACAGAGAGGCGGAGCTAACAACTGAGAAAGTAGCAGGGGCCCAGCGCTCTGAGCAGCTGAGGCTGGGGCAGTCAGCAGGCTGGCAGCAGGGAGCAGAACCCAAACTCCCTGGGGCTGGGCTTTGGCTCATCTTCCAGTGCATCCTACCGGTTCCCAGGAATCCAAGCCGCCTGGGGAACAGGGCCCACACAGATCTAAGAGTTAAAGATGGCAAAGTAAGATTGGCAGTAACTCTGCTAGTGTTGGAAAGGTCATCCAGAGCAACCTCCTAGAGACCGGGTGTCTTCTGCAGCATCCGTGCCAAAAGATCACCCCCACCTGTCACTGATCTTTTCATTTTTGTCAAGCTTGATAACCCCAGTTCTGTTCTTCATACAACCAAGGGTGAAAACCCTTTCTCACTCTGCTCATCCTCCTCCCAGTGTGGTCAGCCTGGACATTTTAACTCCCGAAGAGTAGAGAGCAGTCCCCCAGGGGAGGTCTGCTACTGAGTGGAGAGCTAGCCTATCTTCTTCATTCTTGCCTCATCTTCTTCATGAAACCTGAGACCATAGCTTTCTTTTTAAAATCTTCTTAGGAATCCACCATAAACTGGGCACATTGGTGCATGGCTATGATCCCAGCACGCTGGGAAACTGAGACAGGAGGATTGCAAGTTTGAGTCCCACTTGGGCAACTTCATTAGACTTTGTCTCAAAGTAAAAAATATAAAAAAGGATCAGGGCCAGGCATTGTTGGTGCATCCCTGTAATCTCAGCACTTGGAAGGCAGAGGCAGGAGGATCGCTGCAAGTTTGAGGCCAGCATGGGCTACATAGTAAGTCCAAAGCCAACCTGAACTACGGAAATGAGATCCTGTCTCAAAAAGCCCAAAGTGTGAATTGGTGGTCGGGTTGGGGATGCTCAGTACAAAGGCCCTGGGCTCAATTCCCAGAGCCAAAAAAATCCACGATATACTGTTGATTCATTCCAACTCTGTAGGAGCTAAATATATATTTTATTCACATATATGCACAGCCCTGTACTATACCTGATTCTAATTGATTAGGAATAACCCGTCGTACTGAAAGTAACTGGGTTATTGGGATGAAGTAGCTTTGTAACTGAGGGCCTCAAAACAGTGAGAAAAAAACTGAAAGGCCTTATTCTTACCTTCTCCTTTCTTCTACCACATTTTCTTTTTTTGTTGTTTTGTTTTGGTACTGGGAATTGACCTCAGGGCCTGTGCTTATGCTGCTGAGCTATATCTCCAGCCCTTTCTTTTTTTATTAGAAGAAAGATTCTAAAAAATCAGAAAACAGAAATGAATTTCCTGAAATGTCACTTGTTAAAATCTATCCCTGAAAGTTCTTGGCAGAACATGTGATACTATTCAGGCTTCTTATAAGGTCTTGGCCCACAGGGCCCTTTCTCTTTCCCACCTCAGAAACAGACATGACCAGGAAGATCTTCACAAACACCAGGGAGCGGTGGAGGCAGCAGAATGTCAACAGGGCCTTTGCCAAGCTGAGGAAGCTCATCCCCACTCACCCTCCAGACAAAAAGCTGAGCAAGAATGAAACGCTTCGCCTGGCAATGAGGTACATCAACTTCTTGGTCAAGATCTTGGGGGAACAAAGCCTGCCGCAAATGGGAGTGTCTGCTCAGGGAAACATTCTGGGGCTCTTCCCTCAAGGACCTCGCCCGCCGGAACTGCAGGATGGCACTGTACTCAATGACTACCGGATCTCCTCACCTGGCCCAAGCCACCACCTGCCATAGTGTGGCTCTGGCAGTCCTCCCCCGGGCAGACTTTTGCAGGGGTCACTGGCTGAGGGCAGCCTTTGCACGTGCTGGAGTCACCTTGATGAATAGCTTGTGAAGCTCAGATTTGGGCTTCCTGGAAGATGGCCCGGGACAGCTGCTGGAGCTGAGAAGAGCCCATAGAGAATGTCACCCCGGATTCCATCCATGGCTGAGACTTCAGACAGAACAGCTGCCCTCCTGTTTTATAAATCCAGGTTCTGCATAAATATTTACAAAACAAAAAAAAATCAGAGGTTTAAAAATCTACCGTTTTAATCACTGTCTTCAGTAATAAGAAAGGAGTTTTCTCAAAATAGATCTCAGATGAATAAGTAGAGTAGGTTTTTCTCAGAACATATTTAAAAGTTTGTTTTGACAAATGGGACTATTTGATCAAAGGCAAACAAAATAAATCTTAAGACTGATGAGTGAAAAGATGGCCCCAGCAGAAATCAACCTGAGATGTGTGGGAAAATCAGTGGAGAAAGTCCCTCTTGAGGAATGGGATTACGTTCCTCCTCCTCGGGAATGCATTCTTTAAATTCTATGGAAATGTGAAGTGTTTACTGATAGGGAGCCATTTATACATGTGAACTCCAAAGCCAAATAGTGGATTGCATCTGTGAAAGGAAAAGGCTTGACAATTTATCAGAGTTCAGGGTTTTCTTACAAAAAAAAAGTTAGCTAAAATAAGTCAGCAAACTCCTTTGTTTCACATGTCAGGTGTTAAAACTTTTAACTCAGCCTGAGTTCCCACTGACTTAAAACCTGTAAAATTAAATTATAATTATGAAAATCCAAATATTACCATTTAATGGTTCATTTAACAGTGTAGTTTAAGCAAAAAATTTAGAATAAACAATAGAAATGTAATACCAGACACTAATTACCCCAGTAAGTCATTGAAACCACATGGATCTGGCAGGACTCATGCCACACACCATCCGGGTCTTGCTGATACATGGATTGAAAGGTAAATCCCCTAATGGAGCTCAGAGTGCAAGTCATATCAGTTAATTACCTCTAAGACATTTTGTCTCCCCACGGTTCTTGACAGTATATGGTTTTAAACTCTTCTGAACCCCATGTGGGATATCTGTGGGTGTAAGGTTAAGAATCCCACTGCCTGAATAATACAGGAATGTAAATTTCCTGCTACTCTAGAAAGAAGGTATTTTATTTATGAATGACCAAAATGAGTCTTCCCGGTTTGGTGATGAGAAAAAAGCTGTGTGAGTCTTTCATAATGTCATTCCCCTACTGACAAGGTCATCAGGTCATTAGGGTCTAAATGGCCTTTGCAGTTGTAGCACAAGGCTTCCTTCTGGGTCTTTTATTTAACCTGCAGCCAGTGAACTTCCCCATGGGCCCGATGTAGCTCAGGGGAACACATAAAAGCAGAGAACAGGAATTTCCCCCTGAATATGCATGTCTTTCTCAACAGCTTGGGTGGATACAAGCTTGTCCTCAAATGATCAGGTGATAGTACATTTCAGAGTTTCAGTGACAGTTATCAGTTTAATGTTATTACTTACTCTCTGGCATTAAATCAAAATAAAACTTTTTTTTTGGTGCCAAGAGTCAAACTCAGGATCTTGTGCTTGCCAGGCAGGTGCTGTACCACTGGGCTACATCCCCCGCCCCAAAATAACATTTTTGACAGTATTTTTAAAATTAGCTTTATTTTAACATGTTGCCAAGGGAAACACAAAGCACCCATGTACCTGAATATGGGGTTTTCTGCCCTACCCAGAATGAGTTTATGGTCCTGCTGCTGGGGTCCTGGTCTGGGTACACAAAGAGGACCTTTCCCCTGACATGCAATGGAGGGTTCCTGAAAAGATGAGGAGATTGTGCTGGCATTAACTTTATGAGAGTAATAATTAAAAAAACTTTGGAAGAAATCCTTTGATAAGTGGATAAACTGTTACAGTGTTACTCTTTGTAATTCACCTCTTAACATATTTATTTTACCACCTTGGACGTTTTTTATGTCAAACTGTAGAAAAGTGACTGTTAAAAAGAACTATAAATACATGTGGACCAAAACCTTGATAAGGTATCCAGGAGACTGGAAACTAACTCAAAAAGTGCTCTAGCATCTTCTTTGATGTCTATATTTAACACTTTATTATTGAAGTAATAAGAATTTGTGCTTTAGGCAGTCATGATGGTGCATGTCTGTAACCCCAGCACTTGGAAGTTGATCACTGTGAGTTCGAGGCCAATCCTGACTACATAACAGGTTCGAGGCCAGCCTTGACTACATAGCAAGACCTTGCCTCAGAAAGCAAAAAAGAATTTATGGTTCACCACCTACCTGTAATTTCATCCACTCAATAGTCTGAGGCAGGAGGATCAGGAGTTCTAGCCTAGTTTGGACAATATAGCAGATTCAAGGTCAGCCTAACTTATACAGTGAGACTCTTTCTCAAACAAAGTAAAAAAGAAGGGCCGAGGAGGTAGTGCAGTGCTAGAGCACTTGCCTAGTATATGTGAGGCCCTGGCTGGGTTTGCTCCTCAGCACTGCAAATGAACAAACCTCTGTAGTTCATCACCGAATGCCTTATCTGTTTATGGGCCATTTAAGCCCAACAGAAAATTCTAGACACAGTTTTAAAATCACCTAGGCTATGCTTCTATGTCACTTGACCAGAGGTATTTGGTGTGCTGTGGGCAGCACTGGAAACTTCCAGAAACCAGGTATAAATATGTCCACTGATTTGTATAAACCATCTGTTTGGTTAATTTTACTTCCTCCTTTCGCAGAGGAGAAAGCAGGTCCTGCAGGTTTTGAAGTGACTTTCCAAAGGTGACAAGGGCAGGGATGAGAAACGCAGGTCTCCTACCCTGCATTCTGCCTCACTCCAGCCCCGTCCAGCCATCGGGGGATTAAAAAGTGAACAGATACCTCACCATCACGGTCATCTCCTTTCCAAAGTGCTCAGTAATCTTCTTCACATGCCTTCTTACCGAAGTAGAATTATGGTGCTTTGTAGAATGTGATTAGAGGTATCAACCAAAGATTTCATTTGTTGATGTGTTTTGTGAGTTTTTAACCATTAATTATAATTCGCTATTTAACTGTTAATTTATTGCAAATAAATTATTTAAGAAAAGAAATTGCTCTTTTCCTTACGATTTCATAAATTTACTAAGCTTATTCACCCCTTCTCTCCATGCTCCCCGTCACTATCCTGGCTTTGACACCCCCCCATTCCCATTGTCTTTAGGAAAAAATGTAGCATCACCGGACATCTCTCCGTTAACCCACCCACTGCACTTCACTCGTCCCGTGGTTTCCAGATCGTCCTAATTCCCAAGTCACAGTGGTAGTCAGGTCATTTCCCTGCTCCCAAGCCTTCAGATAAACACTGTCCCCCAGCAAACCAGGCCTTCTGCAGTCTGGCCCTGATGCCTCCTTCCCTTCCATAATCCCTACGTGTGTTGACTATGCCAGTGAACCTGCTTCCCTTGGTGACCCCACCATCTGTTATTATGTTTACTTCTGACTTGACTTTGGTGATTTCAAAGGCTGGGATGAATGTTCCCATTCTTGTTGCTTCTACTCATTTTCCAGCTGTGCACATTCCATTTGCGAAAGTCCTTCATGGTTCATCTTAAACAACGTCTCTCATATGAATTACTCTTAGATTTCTGCTCTTTGCTCTAGTCTGTCTTTCTCTCCTGGAATTCCTTTATCTAACTTATGACCTCATTTCTTTTACCTGGTACTGGAGACATCACTGTACATTCTATCCCCCCTCGAAAGCTAAAATCTACTTGAAGTGATAGTTTCATTTTTTCTTTTCTTTCTCTTGCAGTGCTCGAACCTAAGGCCTTTACATTGAGCTCTGTCCCCAGGTTGTTTCTTGGGGGGTAGGGGTACAGGGTCTCATTAAATTGTTAAGCAGCCTGGGGTAGGCTCAAACTTGCAGTCTTCCCGCCCCTGCCTGCCAGTGTTGGGACTACGGGAATGCACCACCAGGCCTGGTGACAGTGACAGTTTCTAATATTTAATTCTCATCACAGCCTTGCAAACGGCCCTCATTTTTAAAATGTGAACCTATACCAAGATTGGCTCCTTGAAGCACAGTCTTCTATCATCTTTTTAAAATGACATTAAAATGAAGCTTGTACTGGGTGAGCTTTCCAGGGAAACCCAACCTCTGATGCTTGGCTTAAAGGCTAATATAAGAATTATTTCTCATGATTTCTATCCAAGGATACCCTTTGCAGCACCTGGCCTATGAAATTTCCTCACCTAAGAACGGCCTGCGATGGCCAAACCATGCACAAGTTATGCATGAGCGCTTTGTCTTTAGGGAGGCAGAAGCTGAAAGGGATGTAGAGAATGCACAGCTTAACTGCTGACCCACAGGCCACAGGGCAGTCAAAAGTCACATCCTTAGATAAAAAGGTCAAAGATCTAGAGGGGATCTGAAAATCCAGTGGCAACGTAAAATGAGAGATTTAAAGCAGGTGGTAGGAAAGGCGCGCAAAGGAATGGACGTTGCTAAGGGTTACAGGAGGCCAGAGGGGTTGGGGCAAGGTCTCCTGAATCACATGTCTGCTTCCGTGCCCTCCAAAGCTTACCAGATACAGGGAGACTCTTCGTCTTATTTCTTCTTTCTTGCTAATGGCCTATCACAAAGACATTTTGAAGCTCACCAGATTTTTATATTAGCCTTAGTGAGGTTTGTAATCTATCAGGTAGTATTTGTTCTAAGAATTTAATTTCCAGAGCTCAGCAATTCCCTAGTAGACTAATAAAGGAAACTGTTGAATTGTCTTTACTAGGTAAGTATAAAAATGTAGTATGATATAGTGAATATGTCCATATTCTTGAACCTATGTAATTAGCCTTTGAGGAACCTAGCATAATAAAATATTCAGAATTATGGTTAAAGAATTATGTACATGGCTGGGCATGGTGGGACATGCCTGTAATTCCAGCATTTGGTAGGCTGAGGCAGGAAGAGTGCCATGAGTTCCAGGCCAATCTGGGCTACATAGTAAGTTTAAGGCCAGCCTGAACTACATAGTGAGATCCTGTCTCAAAAAAAGAATTATGTACATAAACCAGGTGTAGTGGCATGTACCTATAGGCACAGAGCAAGACCTTATCTCCAGAGGGGGATATGCTCATATAAAATAACTATATGTACATGAATACCTATTTTATAATTGTTTACAATATACATAAAATAATATTAAGAGTAAAAGTGGCTAAATGCTTACTATCTGCCAGGCACTGTGCCAAGAGCTTCTAATGTACATCTCATCTAATCTTCATAAAAATATTATGTGCATGTTATATTATTATTCCCATTTCATAGCTGAGGAAACTTAAGGATGGGAAGGGTTTCTAACTTGTCCATATTTCCACTGCAGAGCCAGAGTTTGGCCTGCAGTCATTTTTTACTTTAAAACACTGTATGATAGAGTAACACCAGGTGTGGT